ACACGCAGGAACCCTGCCTGCAGCTGAACGACCCAAGAGATTAATCTTTTTCCAAAGCCAGAAGGGACGACTGCAAACACCTATTCTGTTCTCTTACATAGCACAGATCAATGGCATTTTTCAAGGAAGCTCTGGAATTTCTTCCCCCTGTCCTACATAAGTGCTCAAGAGCTCAGCTCTCTGTACCCATATTGAAAATCAGTAGCATAAAGTTCTCAAAGTGCAGGAACCTGTCAGAGATGCCAGACTCTGATCTTCACTCACCATTTATCCTGAGTTTAACTACATGGAAACGTACCTGATTTAGCGTCTGTGGTAGCTGACCCAGACTTCACACATACAGTCAAAAAACTGGTAAAGCATGCAGCAGAGACTAACACTTGCAGTCACAGCATAATGGAATGTTTTCTCATCATCACATACAACCGACTTCTATAGCGTAGGCTGTGCTTCTGCAAGGATAAGCTAGGACATAAGATTACTAAACTGCTTAGGAGAACATCCTGACAGGGCAGTGTGTGGTGAAATGTGTCCCCGTGAATCTTGGCACTTCGCAAATCATGCAACCAACCATTCTCTAGAGTAGCACAGCTTGTTGTCCCTGCGAACAAACACAGAGCTGTGAAGCTACAACCTCTCCAGTCCCCATCCAGGCCTCTGTGTACCTCTGAGAAGCAACGTGCACAAATCCTGACATTTTTGGCAGCTCAGTACAAGCAGGAAGGTTGCAAAGAGAAAACTAGTTCTCTAATTCCTGTAAACAGTGTTGGCATTTAGCCACAGACCCCTTCAAACAGCTGAGGCAGATCAGGTTCCTACAATTTTCATCTGCAGGAAGAGTCTCTGTTGGTAACCTCAGGATCTCTCGTGCCTCTGCGTTGATCTGCAGGTGCTGCCTTAAATTAACCTTTCTAGTGCAGGGACTGTCTTAATCCATCACAAAGAGATCTATGTCCATGACTGGGGCTCCTCAGGCACTGCTGTTAGCAGAAAATAATAATATTTTTTTTAAGCAGCATACGCAAAGTAAACAGAAATAGTAGAATGCCCTATGGCTGCTTTAAATGATATGTGATGTCACAACCAAGATAAGAGATTCCATTTGACATTAAGATACGAAATCCCTGCTATTTCGTATTTACAGTATATTACGTGGATTATAATTTCATATTATTCAATTATTACCAATATTTTAAGAAATGCTGTATTTTTTCTCAGTAGACCAAAGGACAGATGGATTTTAAAATTATGTGCATTTTGACGTTACGTGACAAGCACACACTTCTCCTTCCTTGTGTTGTGCATGAAACTATGCTGCAAATCACAACAAACAGCAAGATTTGGACATTTCCACAGAAATGCAAAACTGAATTTACCTTCAGATTACGAAAACCCATGTTCCTGTGCCATCTTGTGGCTACTACCTTGTAATGCAGATGCAGGCAAAAACGCCCAACAAAACCCAAATCACTTCTTTTCCAGGCCTTTTTTCACTTTTTTTGCTCTATATAACTTAATTTTCTACACGTTTTCTTTATTTCAGCTGCGACTTCAGGCAACAGAGTATCAATGAGAATGAGCTCTATAAACACCGGCATAAAAGTCGGTGCTATTTTTGCAACTACAGGCTATGTGGGACATCAGGGGAAGGCTGGTACAGACAACAAACTAGAGAAGACCTACGACCTACCGGGAAGCCAGTCAAAACCATGACATTTGAAAGCAGGATACCTGAGGATGAGGATGCCTGTACTTTCTTTACTGCAATGGCATGTTATGAGGGATAATGCCTGTACCTGTAACTACCTGAATCAACAGAAAGAGGCACATTTGAAACATAAAGTGACTCCCCCACCCCTTGCTATTTTAGGTCTCTGTCTTCATGTAGAGCTATGTAACTAACTCAGGGGTTTACATTATAATTCTTATATACTGGATTTTTAAATTTTTTTTCATTATTATCGCTGCAAAAATTACGACTGCGAGAATGCTTGGGGATATTCAGAGAGTTTCAGCGGCACTTCATATTCTAAAAAGTGAGAAAAGCAGAAAGACTATGGTCATTCACACAGAAAACACTGAAATTTAAGATTTTTCAATCTGAGTATTTTTCAGAATTACCAAAAAATTAAAACGACTAGCAAATACCTTGGAAGTACAGACAACTGTCTCAGGAAGATACTTGTACCATTACAGTGTGACGTAAACTAGAATGCTTCCTCCTTCAAAGGCATTGACTTACCCATTATCCAATCCATTCTGCCCAAGTTTCTTTCCTACGTCACCCACAATCACACCTGGCATTGGTAGGAGAGTTTTTGTATCTCGAAGCTGCACAGAAGTGGAATGAAACATTATTTCAGTTGTGGAACAATGGAAGTTATTGGCTGAACTTTTCAAACAGTGAAAATATTCCCAACTTGTATTCTGTTATTAAGGTTAAAGAAAGCTCTCTGTTTCATTCAAGCACAGAATACTGGATATAACTTGTACTTACGTAACCTCTCATTCAGGATCCCTGAAGGAAAATTACTTTGGCAATATGACACTAATTACACTGCTGCAATAAATATGCCTTAACACTGATGACTGCTCTCATCAGAACAACATTGAAATCTTCTTCAGCCATATACAGGCTTAGCAGGAACCAATTAAATTTTTATGTAACAATCAGCTTTGAGATATTCCCCAATTTTGTAACACAATCTCTTCAGTCTGCAACTAGTTCATTTTACTATCTACAACTACTCTCCTGCACTACCACATTTTCTGATGCCTTTAATCTTATAAACTGATCTCTCTGGTAGAAGCTTGCAGATTTCATATAGATTAGCTTGCAGCACTGGCAGACAAGTCATCTTAAACCTCATTCAACACTTTCATACAGCACCATCATCATCATGGCTGGGCTTCGTGAATG